TTGCTAATTGTTGTAAATTTCTAAATTAGAAATGTGACTGCTATGTTTGTTTGGTGTTTACAATTTTTGGTTGATCATATATGCTTAGCAATTTTTCCAGAATAGCATAATGCCCTACTTTTGTCAAGAAAAAATTTTTAAAATCAACTCTGAGTTTCCAAGTAATTGGTTTCGACAAAATTAAATTTTCTATTGGAATAAAACAAAGGAAACACACTAGATAAGTAGAATCTATGGCCTTTGGATGCTTTAAGAAGAACAGGTTCAATTGACTAGATTATAAGCGTCAGAGTTGGTAAACAAATTTGTTTGATCTTTTTTACTAGAATTGCCATCTTTGTGCTAACACCAAAACTGAAGTTAGCTATTTGTGGTTTCTGCCTTTTCAATAGTATTAAAACTAGCAGTGTTGTGTTTGGTATTCTTAAAAAAAGCTATATTATTATGGTATTCAAATCTATTGATGGCGAAAATTTAGATAATTACCTATATAATATTCATATTACAGCAACTATTACTAATGATTGGGTTAGAATATCTGTAATGACAGTCACACTAGCATGACTGGCAGGTTATAGAGTATTTGTGCAATGTTGAAGTTATACAGAGAAATGCAAACCAACAAATTGAGCAATGTAAACACTAAATAAGTCCTTGTGGTTATGTAAATCTGTTAAAATTGGGTAACAAAAAGTTCATTTGAGAAGACCCAAATAGAGAGGTAGCTGAATCTTCAACAGCCCTACTGTAAAGGCTAGTCTGGAGAAATGAATATCAAGGTTTAGTACCTGATCATAGTAGCTAGACAGGCAAGAACCTCTGGATTGTAAGTCTTGGAGGTACCATCAACCAGACCATTAGAACGAACCTGAGAAAAAGGATATTAGGCCGATCTGATATACTAATGGACTGATCATAGTTTTACATAAGCTATCTGGATTGGGAGTTTGATAAAAAGACAGAAGAAAAGACAAAAGTATACTAAAGTACTGAAATTATACTGTAAAGTAGATGCTAAAATCTAAGTGAACTTTACAAGAGCATAGTAGTTTAATAGTTAACCCTGATTGCAAGTGTTAGTTCTGCTATAGCAATGCCTAGGTCAGTTGTAAAAAATGAATACAAAAGGCTTTGGGGGGTTTACTTCGAGAATAAATTAGTTCTAAGGTTGAGAAGATAATCTGAGCATCTGAATATGACCTAGTGAGTTAATACAGGTTACAGGTTCAAAGAGTTTAAAATAGAATGCCCAAGCAAAGGTGTTAGGTACAGCAATTGGTAGGGAAACTTTAGACAGATTTCTTAAATAGGTAATATAGAAAACTTATACATATAGCCAATTGTACACTCTCCTGTAGTAGTTCATTGAACCATAATACTGATAAGTAATTAATAAAAGTTAAAAGATCAAAAAGGTCACCTTAATACTAAAAAAAAAAAAATTTGAATACTAGACTTGTCACTTGAAAATTAACAATATATCAACTACTTTAAGTTATTATATTTTATTAAAATTTTTTAAAACTTTAAATAATAACAACTTAACAAAAACTTAATTAAACTTAATAATTTTTTTAAAATAAATTCTACAAACTTATAATATTTATTTTAAAAAAGTTTTATTAAATTTGATAAAGATTTGATTATATTATCTTTGTTTAAAGTTTTAAAAAAAATTATTTGAAAAAATTTGCTTAATTTTTATTAACTCAACTTCACATCTTTAATTGTTTGCTATTATAATAAAATATCTATTATTTAATTTTTTTTTTATTTTAGTAATATATTAATAATATTAAAAATTCTTAAATTATATAAAGTTTTGTAATAATATATATAAATTTACTAATTTTTTCTTAGAGTTACTATTAGCTAGAATTATTTATACTAATTTATATATTATCTTTTATTTATATATAACATATTGGTTAGGGTTTTGATTTAAATTAATAAGCAACATTATATTAAAATTTTATAATTTTTTTTATTAATATGCAAAAAATAATTTATTAGAAATAGATATAACTTTATAAAAAAAATGCATTTGGTTATAATAAGTAAGTAAATAATATAAAAAAAAATACTAGTTTAAATTTATATATTTATTTTTTATAAACATATAATGTATAAAATACATATTTACATCAATAATTTAAAAACTTTTAATGCTGACTTTTGTTTTTTTTTGAATTATTTGCAATATTTGCACTAAGTAGTTAATAACAATTTTTGTTTTAATAATCTGCTTTATTTTTTTTTAATTGGCGAGTTTTTTTTTTATTAAAGCAGATAGTTTATATATATGAATTGTCATCAATAAAAATCAAGCAAATCTATATTTAAAAAAAATCAATGCCTTAACTTTTATAACTCATATTTTGGCATATTTTAAAGCTATCTTAATGGTTTAATGTTCAAAAGAAAGCCTACAATTTAAACTTTCATTTGAATATTAAACTATCAAGGTAGCTTTAAAATCTATTAAGATATGAACTGTAAAAGTTAAGGCATTAAATTTTTTTCAAATACAGATTTGCTTGAATTTTTTTTTTTTTTTTTTTAATATTAATGATGAATTTGCTTGATTTCTATTGATGGCAGTTTATATATATATATATTCAATTTGTTTTTTTTATATTTTTGCTTTTTATTTATAATTTCATTTTTTTTTTATAGTTGGTGCACAATATGCAAATAATCTATATCAAATTGCTAATACATAACATTAACTGCAAATTATTTAAACTGCAAAATTAACTACAAATTTTTTTTATTTTTTTAATTACTTATAAGAATATATATATTAAACAGCTGATTCAAACAATCGATAAAACAATGGAATTTTACAATTTATAACTACAGTTGATATTGTCTCAATAAAGTTTTTCAAATTTTATTAGTAATATATATTTAGACAGTATCAACTGTTTTCAGAATTGTCAAAAGATAAAATCTCTATATAATACTATATATATACTTTTTTTTATTCTTTATTTTTACTTCGTCTTCTAACTCTTTGAGCAGCGTTCCCAACGCCTTCCCTAGCCTCTAAATTCATATAAGGCACTCTCTTCCACGGCACGCCACAAACACCAGTTGAAATATTATTTGAATGATCCAACATGAAACACGTAGGCAAATCTAATGACCCCTTTACAATGAGACTTGTTTTCTGTAACTCTACATATGAAAGTGGTGTTAGAATATGAAAGGTGTGAGCAACTGGATCTATAGATCGTATAATAGCAAGTCCTAAAAATGTATATTCAGAGGGATCCGGGGGTGGATAATTTGGACATGGAAAATAACGTGGAGGCTGCTATTATTTAGAATACATTTTAGTTTTACTAGATTCGATCATATTAACACATAATTGTTAAAGGATACGTACAATACTTATTCCTTTTCCTTGTGATGTTTCTGATCCATCAACTATTTCAAAACTTTCGTCTACATCTAGAAGATTTCCAACTAAACCAACAATTGAACCGTTTAACACATACAAAAGTTGACTCCAAGGAACATCTCCCGAGAAAACGAAAACCCCCTTTGTCAATCCTTTGGTCCAGTCCAAACACCATGGAGAATGATGAATCAATGGTTTATCAAATTGCCACCATTTGGTATTTTCTTGTTTAGTTAGCATAGCAGGCGTAGAATAAAAATAAGAAAGTAAAGCTAAAGTACGATGATCTGCTGCTGTATATTTAGTTGAAATTTCAGAAGGATCAATTGTTTCAACCAATGCAATTTTAGGTGGATCTTCATTTGGTGGGGATATGACGGAAGTAGGAAATGGTGGAAGATTTTGATACGAATGAATTGATGAATAAAATTGAAATAAATGTGTTGGCCTAGTAAAGTCAAGGATACGAAGAATGAGATCATATCCCATTCCTATAAGATTCACAAGAATATTTAGTCTCGATATTTTTTCTTTATCGATTTATATCTTAAACTGAATACCTTTTATCCACCCGTGCGTATTTAAAATTAATGGAATGCGTTGAACCTCTTCGTCCACATGCATGCCAAAGTCTGGACCACAGGCGATATCACGACGATAAACGATTACCAATTCACGTAAACAATCCAAATAATAATCGGGATCGTCAAGAGGAGTATTGCTACCAATGTAATAAGATCTATAAGGTTGTTGGATGTGAGTAAATGGCGGTCCTATTTATAATTGTTTATTAGAGCAAGATAAACGAAAAAGAGAAAAAGAGACGAAAAAGTCGAAATACATACCAAAAATAGGTGAGTTCAATATGTTGAGAGATACGGATCCGGATGGCGTAAATTCTGATTGTCCAACATCGCTTTCAATATAAGCAACTTTAGGACAACTAATATAGTAAGAAATTTATAAAAATTAAAATTTGCTGACACACTTGTTATCATGCAGATCGTCTAATAACGAATTGATATCATACAAATTAAGCATATTGTTAAGCAAATATCTAGCAAAAGTTGATTTTCCAACGTTTCGATGTCCACAAATAACGGCGATAGGTGGCACATCTAATATTAATTTAAAAGCCATTATTATCGAATTAACCCGATCAAGTTATAATATCTTTTAAAGCACATACTATAATTAACTACATCAATAGCGAGTTGATTCGATGCATTCAGCCAAGAATCAGAAATTTGAAGTGATGTTAACCCAGATATAACTTCAAAAATCTAAGAAAGGATCATTATTATCTAAAATAAATTTTAATAATATTATACCCAGTTGAACAATTCAATTTTACCGGATAAAATCCAGAAATTTGGAATAAATTTCTTTTTATAAAAATGGTTTCATCACTTTGATTATTCCTGAATGAATTTACGTGCTCGGCCGTAAATATGCCTTTAAAGCATGAAGATGATATTTTTTCTATTCCTTGAATACCACACCATGTCATTTCTCGGAATGCTAAAATGGTATCGAAGTTTTTTTTGACAAGTCTGGATTTTATCAAAAGATCATTAATGGTTTCTTTAATATTCGCTGAAGCTTTAATTCCGCGGTTTGAAAATATTGGCGTATTTTCTCGTTTTTCAACGGATTCTATGGAAACCAGTGCGTGGGTTTTTGGTGAATATACTGGATAAAAGATGAGATCATCGTTATAATTGAGGATCGCAGTTCCCTCCATGAACTCCATACTATCTTGCAGGGTTGATCCACCATGTAACCTATGGCCCATAATCATAACGTCACCCAAGATTAGTGCGACCAATATATAACCCTGGAAGTTTATTGTCTTCAAAAAAGGACGATATTATAATAATATTCATTGCATAGTACGGCCTAGATTGAACTTTGGCAATATCAAACCTCGCCATGTTTCATCCCCACCAAGCACATTTTAGACATATCAGTTTTCCCCGTATAACGAAAAACGTTATGATCCGACGGTTCAAAGCGAGAAACCGTAGAATGATCCGGGATGTGGTTGTTAGGCGAAGCCATTTTATGTAATGAAAGATGAAACCCCTGGTGAAATGCTAAACCCCTGCGAAAATCGAAACTTCTAGACTTTAAGAAAAGGCGAAATTTTAGGCTGGGTTATCGTTACAGTGTAGTTTAAATTAGAGGTGGTGATCGATCACATCATAATTAATTACTTTTTTTTTTTTTATCAATGCGATCGATTATAATAAAAATCTAATCTGGAACACTTCTAAAAAAATGAAAAAAAGTGAATCATACATATTTATCAGTCTTATGTAGAGTGTCGATCGTTACGAATTACACACGTTTAATCTGCGTGCAATAGTATTAACATAATGCACGTCCGTAATCTGTGACAGGTTAAGCCACTAATTTCAATTACGTCATAAACTATTAAATTTTAAAAACTTACAAATTCAAAAGTTACTTCCTCTAATATATTATAATTAAGTAAAGCAAACAATATATCGTTTCTTAACCGTGCTAATTAACACATTCTTAAATTTTTTTATTTTATTTAATTCAACCTTTTTTGAATGAAGAAAACTCAAAGTGTTGAATTATCCTTTTCACCATATCATTTATTCGTGAACTCGTATTTCGAAGCACTTTTGATTGAACAGTCGCGACTAATATCATAAAG